TTGGGAAAATGCAATGAAGCCCCACTGTACATGGCTTGTTTATTTGCCGTGGTTCTACACGTTTGTGTGGTTGTGCAGGTTTGTTTGTGTGGCAGTGTGGTGTGTTGATAACAGAGAAGGTCAGATCACCCACACCAGACATTGGTTCTGGAAGGATCTGAACAAGAGAACCATTGTCTGGGTTCGTACTCTGTGCCGTCTGTGGTCTCAGCCGTTCAGTCGTCCTGAGGCGACCGAACACGAACACAGACACAGTGGTTTGATACCTGCTCTCTGTGTGAGCTGCAGATGAAGGCAGCTCTGGCGGAGGAGAAGAAGTTCCAGCAGCACATCCAAGCTCAGCAGAAGAAGGAGCTCAGCTCGTTACTGGATTCACAGAAACGTCAGTATCGCCAACGCAAGGAGCAGCTGAAGGAGGTCAGAGGTCACACTTGGCAGCTCTCTCTCTCTCTCTCTCGCTCTCTCACTCTCACGAAGATGAGAGAAACTTTGACCACATCCAGCTAGTTAAGAGAAAACTTTCTCCTGTCTCTCCGACTAGGAGCTAAATGAGAACCAGTCGACTCCAAAGCGAGAGAAGCAGGAGTGGCTGGTCCGCCAGAAGGAGTGTCTGCAGCAGATGCAGGCGGAGGAGGAGGCCGGTCTGCTGCGGAGGCAGAGACAGTATTTTGAACTGCAGTGTCGACAGTACAAGAGGAAGATGCTGCTGGCCCGTCACAACCTGGAGCAGGACCTGCTCAGAGAGGTGAGAGTTCAGTGAATCAACGGCCTCAGACTTCACTGGGTCACATCCCATTTCTTCACTCTGACTGTTGAATGAACTGAGGAAAGTCGTTGTTGTTGATATAAAGACTTAATAACTGACACTTTATATATATATTTTTTAATTTTGTGACCTCACAGCTGAAGTTGGGTAGTTTAATTTCACAGTAATTGTGAGACATAAAGACATTCTCCCCGTTGTTGTTCCTCCAGGACCTGAACAAGAAGCAGACCCAGAAGGACCTGGAGTGTGCCATGCTGCTGCGCCACCACGAGTCCACGCAGGAGCTGGAGTTCAGGCAGCTCGGCTCAGTGCAGAGGACCCGAGCTGAGCTGATCCGCACCCAGCACCAGACGGAACTGACCAACCAGATGGAGTACAACAAGCGCCGCGAGCAAGAGCTGCGACAGAAACACGCCACGGAGGTCCGACAACAACCAAAGAGCCTCAAGGTATCAACGGGCAGAGTCCACCGGATCATAAAAGTCCTGACGCTGCTGACTTCAGTTTGTTAAATTATATTGAATTTCTGTTGTGTTTTTTTTTTGTAACGTCAGATGAAAGAGCTGCAGATCAAGCGTCAGTTCCAGGAGACCTGCAAAATCCAGACCCGCCAGTACAAAGCCCTGAGGAACCACCTGCTGGAGAGCACTCCCAAATCAGACCACAAGGCGGTGCTCAAACGGCTCAAAGAGGAGCAAACGCGTAAGCTGGCCATCCTGGCCGAGCAGTACGACCACTCCGTGAACGACATGCTGTCCACACAGGCTGTGAGTAAGGCAAGGACACCTGAGACGTGCACCGACTACACCTGAGCAGCAGCTCCACCCACTCCAGACAGCAGGGTCGGGTCAAAGTTCAGTAGTTCAATGGACAAAGAGTCCAGAGGTTCAGGTGGACAGGAAGTGACTAATGAATACAGAGAATTACCTGGACCAAGATTCATTTTTCTAAAACCTTTACAACATATAGGTACACACACAACATGTAGGCACACACACACACTCACACACACACGTATGTACACGGTACGTGGATGAAGTTTCATCAAAGTCGTTCCAGAGCAACGCTGCCGTCAGCTGCGTGCTAACATCTGCCTGCTCCTCCACAGCTGCGTCTGGACGAGACCCAGGAGGCCGAGTACCAGGTCCTAAGGATTCAGCTGCAGCAGGAGCTGGAACTGCTCAACGCCTACCAGAGCAAGATCAAGATCCACACGGACACGCAACACGAGCGCGAGGTCAAGGAGCTGGAGCAGAGGGTTTCCATCCGCCGCGCACTGCTGGAACAGAGGGTAGGAAATGATTCTGCCGCAGCCGCTTTCACATTTACCCAGATCCTGCCAAGCAGACGTCCTGATTAGAGACAGGGAAGGTGTTAGCTGACAGGAGAAGACAAAAGGCTCCTTGTTCCAGGGACTGAGGTACACCTCGCTCCACTTCCTGTAGTCATTGGTCGGAAGAAGACCTGAGGAACGTTCCCCGTTGGATTTCTGTGAATAACACAGGGAGTCAAATCGTTTCTAAACTGTTTGTATAAACATGTCTCCTCAGATTGAGGAGGAGATGCTGTCCCTGCAGAACGAGCGCTCGGAGAGGATTCGGACACTGCTGGAGCGCCAGGCCCACGAGATCGAGGCCTTTGACTCGGAAAGCATGCGTCTGGGATTCAGCAACATGGCGCTGAGCGGCATCCCCGCCGAGGCCTACAGCCAGGGCTACCCGACCCCCAGCCCCTCCTCAGGCTCCACCGGTTGGCCGTCACGGCCCGTGCCGCGCTCCGGCAGCCACTGGAGCCACAGCGTTCAGAACTCGGTGTCGACTCCTTCCTGGCGCAGCCAAAACCACAGCAGCGGCGGGGGTCCAGGCTACAGCCGCGCAGAGTCAGTGGTCTCCTCGCACGGAGAGCTGATTAAGAGCGGGAGGAGCCACGCCCCCTCCTCGTCGGCCTCGTCGTCTTCCTCCTCCTCCTCGTCTTCCTCCGCCTCCCAGCAGCTCTACCTCCCACAGCACTACCAGCACCACCACCAGAGCACGCCGCAGCTCTACCATGACACTCGGGAGCGGGACCGAGCCAGGGAGTGGACTGCTGGACGAGGGGGAGGGCGAGAGGTAGGAGCAGGAGGAGGAGGAGCCCACCACTCCCATCACTCCCAGGGCCACCATCACCACCACCACCACCATCACCACCATCACCTCTCCTCCCATTCCTCTGTTCAGTCCCTTGCTCTTCTCCCACCTGCCAATCTCCCTCCTCCCATCTCCTTATCTTCCTCCTCTTCCCCTCCACCCTCTTCCTCATCCTCACAGGGCGGCTACGGCGGACTTAGCGTCAGGGGTTCGAGTCTGATGGCCTTAAGGAACAGCCCACAGCCTCTGAGGAGGACGGCGTCAGGCGGCGGCGGTGGCAGCGACAGTGGGCTGAGCCGCAGCACGTCTGTCACCTCTCACATTTCCAACGGCTCCCACCTTTCTTACTCCTGAACCCCCCCCCCCCTCGCCCTGCCAAATCTCTGAGGCTGACTGCCTCTAGTGAACAACTATCATAATTGCAGCTGTCTGTGTTTTTAGATGTTCCCACGAACCAATCAGAGGACAGCAAAGTAAAAGACATCCTTTTAATATTGTGTTTTAGAAACTCCTTTCTTTGTCATGTAGTTGAAGAAAGAGAGAATGTTGTTTTAGCAGGTTTTGCCACCAGAGGGCCACAGTTACTGTAGCTTAAAAAAACAAACAAAGGTTTAAAAATTGAGTCTTGAAAACAGAGAACGTGCCTCATGTAGCAGGTGGCCAACAGGGGGCACCTTCATTGGTTTAAAAAAAAGATTTTCCTCTACCGAAGTACGGCGCTCAGAACCACGTGTTTTCTGATGATGACGGACGACCACGAGACTCAAACATTCCTGTATCTTTGTCTCAGAATGCCGTGGTAAAGTTAGAATTCTAAAGTGAATCTAAAAGGTCAACATTTCAAGTGAAGTCAGAATTCATGGAAACAAAACACACGATCTGAGTCAGAATTTTTATTCTTCGTTTGGAATTTTTTAAATAAAAAAAAAAAGTCCATGTATTTATGGAATACTAAAGAAACTGATAAAACCTCCAAATCCTCCTGACAGACCCCCCCTCCATGCTTCACCCACTGACCCACAGATACTCCCTTCTTCAGACTTGTTCTTGTATCAGTGGGGACGAGGAGCCAAATGAAAAGAACTGTTTATCAACTTCGGATCAAAATGCCACATTATTTTCTTCCCCACCACGTCTGAAGCAGATGTTTGGTTTTTGTTAATGCTCTTAAATCACACAGTTCTCTCCAGGTTCATGTTCAGACGTCAGCAGTTGTTTTTTTTTTTTTAACATTTTGATGAGAGTGGGTGGGAAATGCTTTAAAACCACTGTAACTATGTAAATATCAGTAAATTGTAAAATCACAGATTCTCGTGTTGGATTTGATCAGCAGGGGGGGCCATGTAGTCCTAAGAAGAACTTTTTTTTTTTTTTTTTTTTTTCAATTTTACAGTTGAGTAGATCTGTGTTCCAGAAGACAAATACTGAATAAAACACTGCCATCATTTTTTTAATTGTAACTTTTTGACCGTCCATGGTCCTCCAGCCTCCAGAGGAACATATATACACTATGTATATATATATTTATATATATGTATGTGTATATATGTATCTACCTATTTGTAAGCAGACAGGCTTATGTTTACATGCTGACATCACAAACGTGACTAGACTCGACATGTTGACGTGGAGTGATCTTAAAAACATGTTCCTTTGAAAAGGATGGCAGCGTGCCCGTGTGCGTGCGCGGGACAGAGACACACCTCCGTGCACAGACTGGCTTGTACAACATGCACGCGCCTTCCTGACCTGTCTATATGCATAGAAATGTAAGATACATGTGTAGAGTATCGCTGTAATTACACCAGTGTACAGATAGGAGCGCTAGCTCTGAGAAGCAGCGACGGTTTCTTTTTGTTGTAAGTTGAACAATTAGTCCTAGAGGTCAACAGTGGGCGCTATTGTTACCATAACTTCTACTGCATTCTAAGTATTTATGTTACTATGGTATTTTTTCTTTTTTTTTAAATTGTAGGTATTTTGCCAATTTTAACCACTAGGTGGAGAAAAAGAAACGTTACTGTGATTGAGCTATAACTTAAAGAATTTTAAAGGGATATATCAGGTTTTTAAAGTCTGTCTGTATGAGGTACTTATACATACTTTGCATAAGCGCCCCCTGTCGCTGACACCAGCCTGAGAGAGAAACAATGACTGTTATATTATTGTGGAGTTTACTGACACTTTTCTGAACAGCAGGCAGACATGAATAATCCACTCACTGCCCCTGACATTTGAGCAAATCTGTGATTTTTATCCCGGCAGAGACGCAGCGGCAGATATTATATATTATTTGTTCGCTTCACTGGCCCGAAACTTCAGTTTCCTTTATGTTGTGTCGCTGTTGGCAGCCATTGTTTGACAACAATGCTATATCTGTGTCTGTCAGCAGGGGGCGCTGGTGTGTCAGTACCTTCTGCAGCCATGCTTTAAAATGCATTCCTTTAGAGAAATAAGGATAACGTTCCCCAGCATTCCTGTCGTGGTCCTGTGTTGAGTCTACACTTGAGGGCGGGGCTACTGTGTGGTTATTAGTTATATTGTTTTTTTTTCTGAGCCAGTATTAAAACATGGAAACAGTTGACAATAAAATATACAACTTTTTCTTTTACTGTGTTTCGTGCCATATGTTTTTTTTTCATGTTTTTGTTGTTGATTTGTAAAAAAAAAAACGTTCCCTGCACAACATGGAGCCCAACAATTCCACCCACACACTTGAAGTATAAAATAATTTCAATAAATTTAAAAGGAAAACAAATTCCAACTTCACTCGTCTTTTGTTTTATTGAATTAAAGATTAAAAAATAATAAGTTGTTGATTCTTGAGGCCTTAGAAAGTCCTCCAGGTAAAGGATATTTTAGTGACGTGTGATTGGACACTGAATATGATTGACAGCTGGATCAACGAACAGGAGCCTGGCCACATGACGTCATCAGGGCCTGGATGCCAATAATGTTTTATTATGTTTTTACCATGTATGTGTGTGTGTTCTGATCTTCACACTGTTCTGTGCAATTTACAAATACTTTAACAGTTGTTAAAATATTATTAGTAATAATGTAGTACATGACGTTAATTAAATTTACAATACGTCAGGCCTGGTGGGGCTTTTGTTTTGAAATTACCCGAAGTCGTGCTGTCATTTGCCGCGCGCCCCAAACCGGAAGTAGACAACCTGGTGTTTTCTGTCGCTCTCCTTTTCAACGGCATTGAAGTGTATTCAGTGGTCTGGTCAGTGGTCTGGTCAGTGGTCTCTTCAGGACGCAACATTTTCAGGTCCAAAAATGACGCAGGACAATATTTTTCTCTTCGTCCCAAATCTGATCGGTGAGTTCGTTCCCCGGCGGTGGCGGAAAAGTTAGCCTAGCATCAGCTCCGATCGTGTTTACGTTCATTCAGAACAACGTTCAGGTTTGTGTGTAGAGTGATGAAGGCTGATCGTTCATCTCAGCCCGTTTTATTCTTCCTCGCAAACATCATGCCATGTTTTTAACCTCGTTTACCTGTTATAGGTGTCTAAACATAAACATTAGCCCTGCATTAACGTTAACCATACATTAATCATTAGTCCTGTTCCGTCCAGGAACATTGTGACGTACAATGAGAGAACTGCAGAACCGGTTTAGCATTACCCATGTTTTATAAAGCTCTAATAAGCATGCATTTTACGAATAAAAGAAATGTTGTTAGTTACTTAAAAAAAATGGTCGAAGTTTTGTGGGGGGGAAAAGGGATGCTGCTGATTGTAATCCATAATCATGTCTTGACAAATGTTTTGTTTACCGTCCGAAAACAAATACTTGGGATGGTAAAAAGTCAAATTGAAAGATTGATTGAAATTTAAAGATTGATTGACGTCACGTCCGTCTGCGTTGCTCCAATTCATAAAACAGATTTTTGTCTCCATTGACTTTGCAGTTTGGACTTCAACATATAAATGAAACAGAAAACTGGCTGTGAATTTCCCAACTGTGAGACCAATACATTACTTCTTATCTTATCTTAAAAGTGGGAGTGTTTCCAGTAAATTGATTTTATTAGAGATGATGACTGATATTAGGCCACAGTAAAACAGAATGTGTTTGAGTGTTATTACAAAAACAATTAGGCCACAGTAAAGCAGAATGTGTTATTACAGACTGTTATTACAGAAAATCAGACAAGGTCAGACACTGAGCAGAAGTTCGAGGACAGTGACAGGGATCCAGACTCAGAGGAAACAACTTCAGCCCAGAATCTAGGGCCTAGAGGGAAAGGAGAGTTGTTAGTTGTTAGTTCCAGCAGGGGGGGCTACAGGTGCCCTTCGGTCTTCAGTAACCTGCAGTGTCCAGGGGTTTTCTGTTGGTTTCCAGTTAGCAAATGAGCTGAGCAGCCTCTGAGGTGTCGAAAGGGAAACGTATCTGAATCCTCAAGTCAACCACTGCAGATATTTGAGCCACGTCCACGTTGAGCTTCTCCGTCTCTGATCCTGTCCCTCCTCTTGGTCCCTGCTGCAGGTTACAGCCGTGTGGTTCTGGCTCTACTCTCCTTCTACCTGATGCCCTGCTGCCCATGGCCTGCCGTCTTCTGCTACGTGCTCAGTGCTCTGCTGGACGCCTTTGACGGACATGCTGCTCGAGCACTCAATCAGTGTACGAACAGTCGAGGACCTGGACCTGGTTCCTTTCTCTCTCTCTTGGGTTTTAGTATTTTTGTTAGCTTTTCATATAGTCTTAGAATTGTTTTTAGACACTCAAGACTAACAGTAAGATTTGTAGAAACAACATCTCAGCTGACTTTTAAAAAGAAAGTCTCCAATCACAGTCACTAGGGGGCACTAGATGTATAGACGGAGTGGTTAAGCCATGTCAGAATCAGGTCATGGTACTGATTGTCATTTCTCTTCCAGCCACCAAGTTTGGAGCCATGCTGGACATGCTGACAGACCGCTGCGCCACCATGTGTCTGCTGGTCAACCTGTCCCTGCTGTACCCATCCTACACCTTCCTGTTCCAGCTCAGCATGTGTGTGGACGTGGCCAGTCATTGGCTGCACCTGCACAGGTGGGTTCCTCTGTCCGCTACACGTGGTCCTTACTGTTCCACTACATTAGCAAGAAGAATAGCGGTTAGCGCGAACTAACGGATGTGAATAGACTAGTGATGTCAGTGAACCAGTCGGTCCTGGACTCAGACCTGGTCCTGGTCCGGTCCTGGACTCAGACCTGGTCCCGTTTGGATGTTGTTGAATGTCCTGTCTTTATCACCTCCTCAGCTCCACCATCAAAGGATCGGCCAGTCACAAGACCATCGACCTGTCAGGAAACCCTGTCCTACGGATCTACTACACCTCCAAGGTGAAGATACCCTGTCCTACGGATCTACTACACCTCTAAGGTGAAGAGCTGTGACCTCCTGCGACCTCCTGTGACCTCCTGTGCTGATGTGAAGTCTGTGCTGGAGCCTGATGTGTTCTTGTGGTTTTGTTTTGTTTTTTTCTCCTGCAGCCGGTACTGTTTGTGATGTGTGCTGGGAACGAGCTGTTCTTCTGCCTGCTCTATATTCTCCATCACATCCCACAACCTGCAGGTAAGAAGCTGCAAACATCTGACCCAAGAACTCGGCTCCAGAACCACCTCCTAATCAGGAAGTAGAGAAAGTACCAGGAACTACAGTGTGGTGCAGTAGTATTTACTCTCTTATTCATAAGTCCTTTTTTTTTGCAATTCCTTAAGTAGAACCATATGTAGTTCCTGGTACTGTTCCTGTTGGTCTGAGTTCTGGGTGCCAGTACTTTTGTTTGTGACTGATGACGTGTTTCCTGCTGCAGCCTGGATCTACTGGCTGCTGGGCCTCTGTGGAGCCATCTCCATGCTGAAAACTGGGATCAGCTTGGTTCACCTTGTCACCGCCTCACAGAACATGGCCGCCCTGGATGTTGCTGAGCGAGCGGCGGCGACCAAGAAGCAGTGAGCGCCTGGTTCTGGTTCTGTCCACGATCCAGGGACCAAGTCCAGCACCCCGATCTTCTCGTATTTATTTTCTGAATCTTGTCTGTAGGGGAACAGGTAACTCTATGACCAACGTAGTAGATGATGATTAGATGATTGTTTGGATGCCGTGATGATGTCATTAATTCTGCTTTAACACTGTCACGGTATAAAAAGAAGGTCACACCCATTGTTACTCCACAAACCAGTTTCCTGGCGATATTCTCAGGGAGGAGTTGTCAAAATGAAAGTAAAACTGACAGGACTGATGTTAGAGTACATGTAAAGGTCATTGAGGTCAAAGTCAGCACATGTTCTACAGGGAGGGTTTGTCAGCTGTGGTGATAGGGCTGTACTCTAAGTGAACTGTCTTTTATTTTGAAGCTGAAGGCCGGTCTTCTGTCTCCTCCTTTGACCTTTTCCTCTTTTTAAATAAGTTCTACAAAGACTTTTATTTTGACAGCGCTCTCCAGGCGTGTCCACTGGTGTTAGGATCGGGAGAGAATCTGGTCACTTTCGCATTGATAATCAATACAAGTGAACAAACAATAAAATGACTAGTAATCCTTTAAAAGAAATTAATAATGAAATTATGATAAAAATGTCACCTTTATTTTATTTTATTTATTTTTTGTAGCTGTAAATCACATGAGCCATGGTCTGGGACCAGTCCACTCTTCTTTTTTTTTTTCTACTGTTCCATTCACAGATTTAAATGGTCACTAAGCCATTTCCTGTCGCCTCAGTCAGGAAACAGGAAGTGTCTGTGAGCGGCGTGTCCAGGCTTCAGTGTTTGTTTGACTCAGAATCCCTGCTACTGTTGGACGAGTGTCATTATGTGACAGAAAGAATCAGTGATGATATTTTAAAAAAACATAGGTAATCATTGCAGTATTTAAAAAAGTATATTTGTTTATATGTACTGTAAAGTCAAAATAAACTACTTTACACCATGATTGGAAGTCTTTTTTGTGTGTGTTTTGTGTCCTGCTCCATCTTCCAGAAAAGTTGGTTGTCTTCCTAAAGATTAAAAACAAAAATGTCAACTCCTTTTACGCAGCACCATCATCGTGTTCATACAGCTTTATTTTTAGTGTTTACTATTTATTTTTAAGTACATGATAAAACAATGTTTCATATTTTTATATCCACCTTCACATTTAAGACATACTTTATTACAATAATCAGACGTTAACTGGCTGATGAAATGACGTTTTGGCTCATTCTGAGAACTGTTTCTCACGGATATAAAAGTATCTTTTTCAGATGTCAGTACGGCTCCTGCACCGGAGAGTTACTCGTTATTGTACTTGTTATGTGTTCAGATATGGAGATTAGATATCGATTTTAACGCTCTGTATTTCCTCCGTTTACGTTGTCTTCGTTTGTCCGTAGCTGTGAACAATAGCATCTGATTGTCATTATTTATCAGAGCAGATGAGAAAACACAGACGTCTCTGCCAGGTCTCCTCGTGAACGCGCACAACACGTACACTAACATAAAAACGATTTTTTTTT